CGTATAGGAGAATCAGAAGGCATTAAAGGAAAAATACAGATGTCATTTACAGTTTAACTCAAAAATTGTTAAACAGCAACAGTTATACACAAACATTTACACAACCTGTACAAATATTTTTCCTCCGCAAACTTGCAAGTTAAATTTCAAAATAACTTAAATAGTTTTCTACGTAAAAGTGCAAATCCATATGGGTGTGATGTCTGTGAGTAAAACCATGGCGACAGAAAGGGTGCTTTGAGCTCACTGGCTGTAGGATGTCCACTTGTAAGCAACACAAACACATTTAGCTGCGTAGTTATGATGCCTTGCACTGACCAGCAAATCAGTACTGAAATATCCCAAACAGTCCCAAACTCTGTGACGCCCTTTCTCAACGGATCGTGCCCAACCCTAAATAAAGCCACCGTTAAGCAGTTCAGTCTTTGTAGTGTTCTCAGGTTCAAAGTTTGGAACGTCAGCATTACAGCATAGCAATGACAACCTGTTACATGTATGGTAGTGTTATAGGTTAGCATTAACGTCACAGTTAACCACAGACCAGTCTATACAGTCTTGAACCCCAAACACGACAGGGTTGTAGTAGTCCACAGGTTTCAGGTTTCGACAGCAAGTGTGAGCAGAGGTGAGGCGAAGGCGGCTGCTGCTGATTCTCCACAGTCACAAGGTATGAAGCGACAGAGAGTGGCAAACTGTTAATGCTGAAACTTCAAAGTCTCTACAGGCATCCTTCTCACTGGTGAGGAGGGGAGACATATTGGAAAAAAACTAACCCACACACGCTATTGGGCTTTACATGCTTCTGTAAAATCATGCAGCCGAGTCCAAAACAGAAAAAAGGAAAAAAAACTAAAAGAAAATCACCATGAGGAGTATTACAGCATATCTGCTCATGAAGCACTGGTCACCATGGGCTCTACTGGACAGAAAACTGGAAATGTGTTTGGTAAATAAAAACGGTGTTTAGGCATTTGCAATACAAATGGGGGGAAAAAGAAGCAAGCATCGAGTCTTTGTGTGAGTTTGTGTAACATGAAGTAACTACGACTTCTGCTCGGCTCCTGCTGCAGACTGCGCTGCGCTCTCAGGCTTAAGGATCTGATAGGTGATGAGGTACTCTGGGTAGGCCTAAAGAAAACAAAGCAGGGTGTCAGCCAATATTACACAGCACGTGTTGCTTTTTGCTAACGCTATGGCCCGAGTTCTTAATTACCTGCTCTCCTCTGTAGATGACATACTCGGCGTAAGCTAGGCCGTTAACACTGGGCCGCCCGATTACTGAATGATGTCCTGGGGGAGCGTGAGCCATCTTCATGGCACTGAACTGTAGGAATGACTTCCCCAAAGTCACTCGGCAGAAAAGCATTTGCCTGAGAAGTCACAACATATGAACTGAGTACAGGAACAAAACTTTGCTACGACATCTTTGTGCTGCAGTTTAATGGGTGACAGCCAAAAGTTACCTGTGGCACAGGTAGCAGGATCGGTCTTTGTGTGTTGGGCAGCCAGTGCCTCCACCGATGCCGTAGACGTATTGATTGCTTTTTGAGGAGTTCTCTGCAAAATAGATACCCGCTCCAAACATCCCTCCTATGTAGGCGTGACGCTCATCAAAGCCTTTGTGAATGATGGCATTGATAAA